GGTTAATGCAACATGACATAGCAGAATGTCAAAAAAATTACATTGACAAAGCAATCATGGAAATGAAGGCGAATAAGCTTGGCGCCAATTCGAACATCACTTTGTTGAGCCCGTTCCAATATATTACGAACTACACCGGACACATTTTGGCACGAGCTACTATAAAATGTATACGTCAATTGGCCATTACAACCTAGTACAAACGAAGATATCAAGAATAGAGCAGCTACTACTGCAAATCTTGACACAAACATTGTAGGATTTTTTTTTTTTCTAGTTTAGATTGAAAGAAATGATGGGTGTGATTTTACTTCTCTGATTATAGCTATTTATATAGGAAAATAGTAAGAGCTAGGGTGGTGAGGTGAGAAAACGAGTATGCATGCATGGAAAATTCTTTCTATGTATATTATTCAACTTAATCGAAAGTTTACAATGTCATTGTTTGGTGAAGATTAAAATAAAATATATAAGTTAATAAAATGTGTGGTTGAAAAGTCGTGAAATACATAAAATATGTTGTTAGAATTAATTAACTAATTTTGATAAAAATCTAGATTTTAATCTCTACCAAACATGGGTTATGATAGAAAGTATTATGTACTTGTTTCTATGAAATATCCTTGGACTGTGGAATTATATAAATTTCCTCAAATCTTATATTACTCGCTCGGGACGCTTTTTAAAGAATTACATGGTACGATCAGATAGACTTAAAAGTCAAAATCTAATAATTAATTTTAGAACCTTGCTATTGGGCCAGGCTCAAAGTCAGGCCCAAAGCGCCCCCCTTATTGGAAGGGAGGAGCTGACTTTGAGCTTGGTCAAGAATATTTGCCCTTAATTTTATAGGAAACACAAACTTTTATTAACTTTTGAACCACACTTTTTATTAGCTTTTGTCAAGATTTATTAAAAAATCAATTTTTAACAAAATCAAATGGGGAGCTTCCTAACTTCTTTAGAAATATATATTAAATCGCTTGTGAACCTTTAGCTATTGTTTTATTCAATATTTGTTTAGCAGTGTGTTTGATGGATATTATTGAAGAAAAAAATATATTTTAAAAGTGTATAATAATGAGAAATATGTGGTAGAAAAGTAAGGAAAAATTATTGATGTGATGTAAAATATTATTTTATTGAAAATTGTGATTGAAATGAGTTTTGAAAAATATATTTTTAAAGAATATGTGTCGAACAAGGGCTTAAATACATTTTTACCTACAAATGCAATATATGAATCGGGTTCGTTAAGTTAACACTATGCTTACCTACCAACAATATAATTTCATCAAATTTTGTTAATTACAGAAAAATATACAAGAAAGTCTAATGCGATAATTGCCAAAGAATTAGTAAATCTTGATAAAGTCAGAAGATAACCCCACAAATCCAATTCTCTCTTCAATATTTTTCATAAGGATATGAGGAAGTCATCACATCATCAAAGGAATTGGTTTCTAACAAAATGTGCAAGCATATAAAGCTAATAAGCATTTGGGCATATTATTTTCAATGCTCAACATAATTCAAAATGGATTTATGTTCTTAGCCATCGATCGTATTAGAGTTGGGTATGGTTCGATTCAATCCGATTTGCAAGACAATTAAATTGAAAAACAATGAGAATCTTATAAATGAAACTAGGGTTGTGTTACATGTACATAACAATTACATAATGACTTACCAACAAATGATATGACAAGATTTAATTGGATCAACATTTTATCAATTACATAACTTCCCCATTTACATTTTGACACGTCATCATTATGTAAAATATTACGTAAAGTATTACGTACATGTAACGCAACCCATAAAATTATTGGTTCCTAATGTAATTCTGGAACTGAACCGTTTGGTTTTAGTTTCTTATCTAATTAGATAAAGCGTTAACTTAAGTCTCCCATATGATGGAGGTCTTGTGTTCGAATTTTGGGGGACGCGTCAGAAAGCCGTGAGGGGTAAGATGGGCTTAGACTTTCCCGAAGCGGACAATACGTAAGATAACGACTCCGGTGAGAGGCCGGGTCGTTACAATTTTTGTTTTTGCTTCTAGAAGAGTTTTTAGAAGAAATTATCTTAATTTTTGTTTGAAAACTAATTTTTAAAAGGGATTTGTCTATTTCGAAAGTATTTTTAGAGGAATCCACATCAGACCATCTTCTTCTAAAAGCACTTCTAACTAGAAGAAGATCGTTCATAAAATTAGCCAATAAGTTAAAAGTAATTTTTGATTCTCAAAAACTTCTTTTAATTTTTCAAAAACCGTGTTGAAGGAGTATTTAAAGTATTTTGTGAAAGTCTACGGATAAGCCTGCATCCATGCATGCACGGTCGGTCGAAACTATGAATTTTCAAAGGGGTTTCACATTGACAAGTCAATACATAAATAAATATGAATAAGTCGTACTTTAGTCCTCGATTTCTACAGTTAGACTTGCCAACTTTACTACTTTGTCAACAACTTAAGCTGGCAAATAATGATCTTTCATTATCATTTATTTATGAAAATTGTATACTGTCATTTTTCTTTATTTGACTTCTGAATGACAATCTAACGAAGTATTTGACATTTTAGAAAATTTACCAAGAAAAAATTGACTTTTTAATGGAAAAAGTAATAATTGAATCGTGAGTTATTTTTTTTAGCTATAGTACGTTATTCAATATATTTAAAATTATATTTATTTTTTCTAAGCACGAGATGTATATTAGAGCCTGTTCAAGCTCCATTTTCGTTGTGAAATACATTTGGGAATAGTAGATTAATGGAAAATGTATGGTAAAAAATGAAGGAATAATTTTTGAATTGCGTGTAATATTATTTTGGGAAGAATTCACAAATCAGATGTTAAGTTCCAGAACGCTGCTACAATGTCAGAAAAATTTTAACATGCAGTTTGACAGGATACTCACACTAGGGGGAGGGTCCACAATTTTTTGGAATTTTTTTATTACAGTGGGTCCCATGGCAATGTGAGTGTCTGTCAAAACCCATGTCAAGAATTTTCTGGCACAACGGCTTTGTTCTAAGTTCCAACAATGCAAAATTCAGGTTTCAAGTTTAAAAATTGCAAAAATCAGATATTTAGCTAATTAATTAAAAATATTTATTATTTAAATACAATAAATTCATAATTATACAATTAATGATCACATGTACATAATTATATGCCACAATTTATTTATTGATCACATGTAGTCAAATTAATTGGTTACAAATCAAAAAAATTATAGGTCACAATTTATCTGTCAGTCACATATTTTCAAATTTCGAGATCACGGATTATTTCGAGATCACAAATCAAAAAAAACTATATGTCACAATTTATCTATCGGTCACACATTTTCGAATTTGCTAGTCACAAATTATCGAATTTTAAGATCACAGTTTAATAGTTAGTCAAGGTGAACCAAATACTTGGTCACATACATCAAACACTCCACCACCAATATTTGATCACAAATCAACCAAATAATTGGTTACAAACTCTATCCTACCCCTACCACAACCATCGTCAACAACGATAACGACCACCATTGCCGCCTGTACCATACCACAAACAATAACCAACACCATCGCCGCCCCCGCCACAAAACCACCACCATCACCTCACAACAACCAGTACCACCATAGTTGCCATTACTACCACCACACAACCATCAGATCCACCACCACAAAAATCACCACCAGACAATCGTCAGATCTGTCACCGCCACAAAAATCGCCACTACACAGCCTAACCCATACTCCACTATTTCCCAGCCCGACTCTACTCCACGCGATGCCACCACCACCACCACCACCACCACCACGACGTCACCACCATCCAGTCATCCTCACACCCACAACCGGAAAAAAAAAGGAAAGATAAAGGACTGAAGCGTCGCCTTTTTCAACAGCTTCCGTTCTCAGCAGCGTCGATCGACGCATCTCCTTCGTCTTCAGTTGTCGGAGTTTGAATGAGTCGTCGACGTTGAAGAGAGAAAAGTGATAGAACGCAGAACGGACATAGGACTACACCAATCCCCAACAACGGACACACCACGGCACCCAACCCCAACCACTGGCAACTGCGAAAGTGGCCTTGCAAGGGAGATAGCGACGGCGGCCTTGGAGGAAGACGGCAGGGGGAGGGGGGGGGGGAGGGAGAGAGAGGAGGTGAAGAAGAGGAGATGAAAGTGATGAAATTAGGATTTTAATATTATTAATAAATGGCTTTGCTCTATATAAAATTATTACTTGATTATTGAATAAGTAAATTTTTAACCTGATTTTTGAAAATCAATTTTTAAATACTTGGTTTTGTGTAATTTTCTCTATTATTTTATGGGAAAAGTTCACAACTCAGGTTTTATCTATCCCAAAATCAAAAATCAGGACCCAAGGTTTAAAATTGCAAAAATCAGATTTTTCATGAATTAATTAATTATATTTCACAATTATTATATTAAATTAAATATTAAACTATAATATAATATAATTAACACATATCATCCCACCTCCACCTCCCCTACTACTCTAGCAACTACTTCGTTGACCGGCGACCACTTCGGCGACTGTTCTCCGATCACAGATCAAAAATTTTATAGGTCACGGATTATTTCTAGGTCACAAATTTAAAATTTTATAGGTCGCAGTTTTTTAATTGGTCACAGATAAAAAAAAATTGTAGGTCACAGATTATTTTGAGATCACAAATCTAAAATTTTATAGGTCACATATTATTTTATTGGTTACGGATCAAAAAATTATATGTCATAGGTCACGAATGTTCAAGTTTTTTAGTCACAGATTTTTTTTTAGTTACAAATTATCAATTTTAAAGTCACAATTCTGTAGTTAGGTTACATACACCAAAAAATCCACCATCGACGTTGACCCCGCCACAACAATAACTAAAAAGACCACCACCACATGGATTACCATCACCACACCACAGATCCACCATCACCCATCTTGTCATGTTTAACCACCTGAGGAATAATACAAACAGCTCAGGTACAGAGGAGAATAACCAGAAAAAAATAAAATAACAAAGTTCCAACATGTTCATGTTCCTAGTCATAAACAATAAGCTCCAGTGCTTGAAATTCTTAATCTCAAACGGATAATTTGAAAACCCCATAAGTTGTCTGGGTAAATTAGTGCAGAGTGAAGAATAAAGACTTCCATGTACAATTTCTCTGTTGGGATCAAGGTCGAGCAGGTCGGACTCAACTCGGGGATCGTAAACCCATGTTCCACCAAGCTGGTTTGATCGTAAACCCATCGTTCACAGTAGCGTCAACACTGCCGTTCAGAGAGAGAGGATAACACTGCAAAAATACCACCGCCAAAACACCTTTCACCACCTCCCCCAAAACAACAACACACACCACCACACAACACCCATTACACACCGCACACACCACCACACAGAGGACATAGAGGTAGGGAGAAAGATGAGGGAAGAAGAGAGAGGCAATAGGAGAGAGGGAAAGAGAGAAGGGGAGGAGGCGACGGGCGGTGGTGGTTGGTGGAGGCGGGGTTGTGGAGAGAAATGGGAGGGTGGAGAGAAATAGATAAATTTAGGGTTTGAATAGATTGGATTGAAATGGGGGGATGGGGGTAGGGGTGAGTATATATATTAATTTAATTTAAAATATCATTATTAGTATTAATTGTGAAATTAAAACTTGATTTTTGATTAAATAAAGTATAAACCTAATTTTAATAAATATTAAACTAAACACCTGATTTATTGTAATTTCCTCTTATTTTATTAAAGAATGTGTAATCGAAAAGGCTTAGTCTTAAACCGAGAAGGGAAAATTAGGCCACGTACGGCCTTTGAAAAGAAAAATTGAACAATACTCTAAATTAATGTTTTATCATTAAATCTTTAAATTAACAGTAATTAATACGCTAAAAACACCCAAACTTGATGAATAGAAGTCATTTTGCTGAAATAACAAAACACTCCTCCTTGTTGAAGAAGAAGAAGAAGCCAATTTCGTCAAAAATCAACATCGAGTAACAGTGCCAATTTTCAGCCATCTATCTCACTTCTATTTGAATTCCATGATTAGATTTAATTTAAACCTTATAGTGTAAATAATTAACATTTATAAAGTTTCTTTTTGATGATTTTGTTATTTTTTTTTGGAAACACGTTTGAAAAAATAGTTTTGAATCCGTTAAATTTTTTATGCATGTAAGGTGTTTGACAAAAAAATAATGTGAATTCTGCCACTTTTTCTATGAAAAATTGACGTTTTGTCACTTTTCTAAAAAAAAGTCACACGTCCTCCCCAATTTTGTAATCCTTTAACTCTTCATTCCCCAATTTTTGAATTATGTCACTTTTTTTGAGTTTATGTCACTTTTTTGAAAAATAAAAAAGTGACATTGTGTCACTTTTTTCATTTTACACAATATTTTTTACTTCCTAAAAACCTTTAACATAATTTTTTAAAACACCCCTAATTTTAAGGGAAATTATAATAATTCAGGTGTTTAAAGATTGGAATTCAAAATTCAGGGACCAAGTTTTATTATTCAAAAATCAGGTGATATAAAACTCTTAACCCTAATTTTTCACTCCTTTCCCTCCCCCTCCCCCCCTCCCTCTCTCTCCCTCGCCTCCCCTCTCTATTCCCTCCCCCTCCACAGCTCCACCTCCCCATCCCCTTTCCTCTCTGCCGAGAATCGCAGCAGCACGTCGCTGCTGCGAATCGCAGCAGCGATGCTGCGACCCCACAGCAGCGTCGCGACGCTGCTATGGGTGGTGGTTTGCGGTGGAGTGCTGATTCGATTGGAGTATTGGATTTTGTGATTCGATTGCTGATTCGATTGGATCTAATTTGTTGTTGGTTGGTGTTTTGCGAAGGAGTATTGGGTGTGGCGGTTTGGCTGTTGGCGGATTTGTGGGGTGGTGGATTGGTGGTTGGCTGTTTATGTTTTCGGTCGTTGGTAGCGGATCTATTGATGGTGGTGGCGGATCTGCTGTTGCAAGTGTTCTGTAGTTGTGGGTGTGGTGGCTGCGATCCATGACCAAGCATTTGGTCGATCTGTGACCTGTGACCAAGCGGCGATAGTATGTGACCAAATGTTTGTCAATCTGTGACCAAATTTTTGTTAATATGTGACCAATTACTCAAACGTGACCTAAAAATTTAATAATCTGTGACCTCGAAATAATGTGTGACGTATAAATTGTTTGATATGTGACCTCGAAATAATTTGGGATCAAAAAATTTGACGATATGTGACCAGTAAATAAATCTGTAACTTAAAATTATGAATATGTGACAATTAATCACAAAATGTGACTTTATTATCTTTATTTAATAAATATTTTTAATTAATTAAATAAATACCTGATTTTTGAATTTTTAAACTATTTACCTTATTTTTGAATTGAGGTAAAAAAAATACACTTTAAATATGATTTTTTCCCTAATTTTAAGGATATTTTTGTAAGTACCCCGACCGAGAATTGGGTAATGGCCCAAAGAAGTTTTGTAAGTGAAGAACCCATTTTCAGAGGCCTGATTTGTTGGATTAGGCCCAATCTAAATGTTGAGGCTTAGATCCAATAAAAATCACTTTCAGATCCGATTTTTAGAACAATCGCTCAGCGATTATGCATACACAAAAAATCTTGAGATAATTTGTTGTTTTTCATCAATTTCAATTTTAAATTTCTGAGTTACGCATCCAGTACGAAAATTTTCTTGTTTCTACTGTTTGCAGATTGTCGTGTTTTCGTTTTGCTTGGACATTTGGAGGTTTTACGTATCTGTGGATTTATATCAATACAATAGAAGTGGGAAAATGGATGACCCTTCAATAGCAGCCGATGAAAATCAAGCTCCTGGTAAGTTTCACTGAACTTTTTGTTTCATTTTCAATGAATTTTCAGATAATCATATGGATTTTATACTCAAATTTTTCCCGAAAAAAATAAATAATAATAAATATTAAAATTAAATAAAAAAGAGGAATTGGTTAATTATGTTTTCTAATTTATGGGGCATGAAAAAATAAAAGGCTGAAATGTTGGATTTTGAATATAATTACTGTTAATTCTTTGTGAATTTCCTTTCTCATTTTGTATATCGTGATTGTCTTTTTTGGTGTAATATTGTATATTTTGTACTACATATTTTCTTTTTACCTGAGTATTCGCATATGCTTGTTATTGTATACATGACTATGAAAAACTACGGGCAATACTGAAAATTGGAAAAAAGGAATCCTCATTCTTGCTTCCTATTTAAGCTCCCAACTGTATTCTGTAAACTTTATGGTCTTCATATATTAATCACTTGAAAATGTTTGATTTGTCCCCAATTCTTGGACTCTTGAATTATCCAGGCTAGCATTTTTTTGTTCGACCAACAATCTTTTGAGTTAACTTTAGTACTTATTTCATTTGACATCTATTGCAGAGGATGATGTGAAAGAGCAGTGTTGGGATCAAAGAGAAGCTTTGGCAGGGGAACCTCGATGTGTTATATGTGGACGTTATGGTGAATACATATGTGATGAGACTGATGATGATATTTGCAGCGTTGAGTGTAAAAGGATTCTTCTTGGCCGATTGGCAAAATCACGACCGTTGCCTGCTCAACCTCCTCCTGTAAAACTACCAGCAACTGATGAGTGCTACTACGTTAGAGATAATAATAATTTAGAATCAGAATCTCTAACTAACCAACAGACTGAGCTGCTCAGGAGAAAACTAGATATTTCTGTGAAGGGTAATTTTGTTCCCGCACCCATTTTGTCTTTTAGTTCTTGTAATTTTCATCAGAAGCTCCTTCAAAATTTAGAAGATGCAGGATATGAAATGCCAACACCAGTCCAAATGCAAGCCATTCCTGCTGCATTAATCGGCCAAAGCATGCTTGTTACTGCTGAGACAGGGTCTGGAAAAACCTGCTCCTTTCTAGTTCCTATAGTTTCTTATTGTGTAAAGCTTAATAATAATAGTAACCAACAAAAACCTCAAGCAATAGTTCTTGCACCTACTAGAGAGCTTTGTATACAGGTGGAGGAACAAGCAAAGTTGCTCGGTAAGGGTTTGCCCTTCAAAACTGCCCTGGTGGTTGGTGGTGATGCCATGGCGGGGCAATTATATCGCATCCAACAGGGGGTATCCTTGATTGTGGCAACTCCTGGAAGGCTCATTGATCTTTTAATCAAGCATGATATTGAGTTAGATAGTATTTCCACTCTTGTTATTGATGAAGTAGATTGCATGGTGCAAAGGGGATTCCTTGATCAAGTAATGCAAATTTTTAGGGCTCTATCCCAGCCCCAAGTATTAATGTACTCTGCAACAATTTCAAGAGAAGTGGAGAGGGTGGCAGGTTCAATGGTGAAAGATCTGACCATTATCCTAGTTGGGAAGCCAAACAAGCCTAATGAGGCCATTAAACAACTGGCAATTTGGGTGGAGTCAAAGAAAAAGAAGCAGAAGCTTTTTGACATATTGATGAGCAAACAGCATTTTAAGCCGCCGGTTGTGGTGTTTGTGGGTTCAAGACTTGGTGCAGATCTTCTTTCTGAAGCAATAACTATCACAACTGGTTTAAAAGCTCTATCGATCCATGGTGAGAAACCCATGAAGGAGAGGAGAGAAATAATAAGGTCATTGTTGGTTGGAGAAGTTAATGTGATTGTGGCCACTGGAATATTGGGCCGAGGACTTGATCTCCTTTCTGTGAGGCAGGTGATTGTGTTTGACATGCCAACTTCCATCAAGGAGTATGTACACCAGATTGGAAGGGCATCTAGAATGGGAGAGGAGGGTACATCAATGGTGTTTGTGAATGAAGAGAATAAGAAATTGTTCCGTGAGTTGGTTGATATATTGAAATCATCTGGTGCTGCCATTCCACGCGAGCTTGCTAATTCGCGGTATTCAGTAAATTCCTCTGTTGGGAAGGCTCAAAAGAAAAGGAAGCATGGCTACTGAAGGTATTGTATTGGTAGTCTTTGTTCTGAAAAAAGAAACAGCAGAAAGAAAGAAATGAGGATTGGCATAAAAAGGTGGGTTAAGAAAGATTTAAATGTTGTAAGATCAAGAAATCATGACAATTTCATTTCTGGAAGGCTATGGTCTGCCACTCTGATTTATGAGATACTGGCAAGGTAATTTATTAGTTGATTTGTAAATATTTTTTGGTTATATTATTAGCATGTTACCCATGTCAAAAAGCAAAAATACTTCCCTGACTTTAACACTAAAGGGAAAATTCCAGCTGCGGTACTGACTTCTGGGGTTATTAACACACTGGTTTGAACCTTGTTTTTAGCATTTAAATCTCCAGCCTTCATTTTTCAGAGCAGATTGGTATTTTGGGTGGTTTCTATCCAAAACAGGCTTTAAATTGAAAGAATTTTGTTTTAGTGAACTTCATGTGTCTCAAGTCGAAATCAAGGAGTTCATCTCATTACTCTAGTCAATTCTAAACGAGACTGCTCGATTAACTACTAGAATAACTAATCAACCCTACATTTATGAAGGTTCTAAGTCAAAATAATTCAAGTGTAAGATTTTCTTCTGCCTCCGTAATCAGTGAAATGTGAACTTCTTCAATAATTTGATTTTATTTAGGATAATCTTGGCACAACAGATGATTTTTACCTTCACTAGGAGAGGTTTGTATACAATCCGGAAAAATCACTGGAAAAAAAAAACGTATTTATTTATTAAATTTTGATCAAATTTGATGAAATGTATAGTTGAAAAATTAATAAAAATTGTAGATCCCATTAAAAGTCAATATATCCAATAAAAGCTGTTTTAATTGATAAAACACTTCCAAAAAATTATTCAAATAGGTTAAAAGCAATTTCATTGAGGTAATGGTTTAAGGGAAAAATTCATAATTACCTTCAACCCCCAAATTCGCATCACCGTTTCTAGCTGATTGCATTTATAGCTTTATTTATGATTATTAGATGAAAATTTCTACTTTATTCTTAGAATTAATAGTGGATTGGATTGCTACTAAGTTTGGGAGTGATATAAAAGTTTATTGAATCATTGAAGTATTTTTTAACTTCCTGTATTTCAACCTGGAAGGCTTGGATCTGCGTTGTACTATGTGAATAGAGGTGTTGTGTGAGAATTGTGATTATATGTGATTACGCAATTTTACTTTTGTGATTAATTTCAATTGCATACCAAGCTATTGTGAAATCGAAAATAATGGCCAGTGCAGGATGAATTTATTGATAGAATGATACGACACCCAGGGGCGGACGCAGACAGTTAAAGTTAGGGGGGTACAATCGAACTTGCAAAAAAATTGAGAGAAATTTTACAATCGAAAATTTACATCCAAAAAAATTATGCCTCATGTAATTTTGTATCTGAAAATTTACATTGAATATGACTTTTTCGGATGTAAAATTTCGAAAATTTTTAATGTCGTATCTCATATAAAATTTCTAATAAAATAATGCAAATTACATTGAGAAATTTGTGTCATAAAAATAATAAATGTTAATGAAATAATTAATTTTTTTAAGAAAATGTGAGTGAGACGCCTCTTTTTAAGACGTACGTTTGACGTATCTTTAATAATTTTCGATATATGTTAGAACTATTCGATATGCCTATAATGTAGTTCTCGAAACGAGATTTAAGATGATATAAGTGATTTGTAGATTCGACTACCGTATGATCGTTGGAGAATTTTTAAAGTTAGCATGTTATCGAAATCTCAAAATACTTATTTTAAACTGCCTACTTTGACAAGTCGTAACATTTGCTACGATTGGTAGTTTCGTACGCCGTTAACGACATAAAAAAACTAGACTGTGAGCACTTCGAAATGGTATTAAGAATGTCATATTTCGATTTCGTTTCACAACTTATAATGATTTCGAAAATTGAAACAAAACATAGAAAATTTTAAAATAAAAAAAAAAGTTTGGGGGTGGGGGGCACGTGCCCCCCTAGGCCCACCCCTAGGTCCGCCAATGACGGCACCTAATTCAAATAGGAGTACTTAAATGACTATCGATAAGAGGAAAAATCAGCCTGTTATAAAAAACATATGGTAGAATGTGGAAGGTGAGGTGGATATGGTCATAATCGAAGAATGTGCATCAACTTGGCACCCTTGAATCAAAAACAAGGAAAGGTGAATCCACCAAAAAAGAGAGGTCGTTAAACAATGCAACATTTTGTGTAATTGATTCAAGATATAGTTACTGAATAATTTTATTTTTATATGAATTTATATTTGAGAAACAATTTGTTTATGCCTAATCTTGTGTAATATTGAATTTATACTATTAATATCATATTGAAATTATTTTAGGAAAAATTGCAGTCATGGTACCAAATCTTTCATTTATTTATAGACTTTGTCCAAACCTTTCATTTGTACCATCCACGATACCAAATCGTTAAAAAACTCGCACTCGGAGTCCAAATTTATAGAAACCATTAGTTGATCAAAAATAAAAAAATATGACCAATTGTTGACTAATTTTTTAAAGGGCAAATGAGTAATTTTACATTTTCCATATAAAAAATTAAAATTAAAGAATTAAAAAAAAAAAAAAAAAACAATCATCTTCTTCACTCACCCCGACACCCCTCCCCCACTTTACATTTTTTTTAATCATCTGTATTTGCATTGAGGGTTATATTTATTTCTAATGTTTCTTCATGCAGCTTCAATTTTAGTTATTCGACAGTATTTTTAGTAGCTTCCAGTTCCTTCAAAACATCTAGGGTTTCTCTTTCTTTCCTTATCCACTCTGTTTCCAACTGTGCAACATGTTCCTCCATATGTACAATGTCAAGAATTTCACTTTCGTTCTGCCATTCGCAAGACATTTCAAACGCGAATAGACATAGAACATAACACACAAATTTACTCGGTGGTTATTTCTCATGTAGAAATTAGACTTCAGAATTAGAAACTAGTTAACTAAAAGGACCAAAGCCATTCTCAGTAGGAGGGAAACTCAATTTCACGTACCCATTTCCTCTTCGATACCCAATATCAGTCCCACTTTTTCTTTCCTCTTCAACCGGTTTTCCCCAGCTTCCTGGCCAGTGAAGAGCAGGCATGTCGGCGAATTCTGGCGACCCGCACGTCTCCGATTAGAGGGAAGGAAAAAATCATTGTTGCCCAAATCTCAGAAACTCATATAAAGGTAAATTTTGAGGAATTTCATATTCTGGTGAACATTTGTTACAAAAGTGGATGACGTATGGTGCTGGATGGGGAAAGCTTTTTTGGTTTTTATAAATTTTGGTTATTCGAAACTGAGAGGAAAACATGCCCTTTCTTCCAGTTTTTGATTTGATATTCAATCTGAACTAAATGTTGCTACTTATTAGCTAGTTACTT